TACTCGATTAATCGTAAGAATAATCGATAGATTACTCGATTACTAAAATATTCGTTTACAACAGCCCTAATGGATTACATGATCAACAACCAGACATTGCCTCTGGCGCAAACCATGAAGAAGAAGAATACAGGAAGTGGTTGGAGGATGTGTCTTATTCAGGTGAACAAACTTAGTCGTGTGATTTACATTTTTTCTTTATTTAATGGAGACACTGCAATTGCGAAATTGTGGTTTTAGACATCATCAGAATATTGACAAAGTTTTGCACATATTGTGAAAGAAACACAGCTAATGTCGGGTACCTGCTGCAGGCTCCATTCTGACATTTTAAGGTTTTTAGAGGCTTAATTTAGCATCTTGCAGTCTGTTCTCAGGATCAGCTTACTTGAACAGCAAGACAACCATTTTCTATGAATACAGATTAAATAAGATATTTGCATATGCAGACTAAAAAGATACATGCACATTTTTTCTCACTGTCTGAAGATAAATCAGTCTGAACTTCTCTTGTTTTAGTTTAGTTAGAATCACCCAAATTGTTTCTATTTGCTATATGCCAGAAAACATAGCAAGATTTTTTTTTACTTGGAAGACTTTTTAAGGATACATGAGGCACTCGTTGCCTTGGTGTTGTTGCCATTTTCACCACTGATGTACTTCCACATATATAGTGGTAGAACAAACATGTAGTGGCTAGCTCATACACTAGCTAGCCTTGTTATTATTGCTAAAATGAACATATTATTTAAACACCAATATAAAGATCTTAGAGAATAAAGTCAGTATTTCAGACATTACACAGGAAGGAAAGTATGTTTATTATATTTCTGCATTGGATTTGACATGTCGTGCCTTAACATTTTTTTACCAAGCAGTGAAGCTAACACTAGAAGATCCTTTGAAAGAGTAATTTTAAATGCAGGGAAGTCAAACTAGTGAGATTTTTAATGTTGCAGCTTCACTTCATGCCTTTAGAATTGGCAGAGCTCCAGATTTCATGGGAGTCTTTGTACACCAGCAGTTTGCCGTCATCAGTCAGCTGAACACGGCCAACATGAGTACCCTGCTGGTAGGAGTTGGTGTGCCATCTAGGGGTGTCACAGTTGTTGTACATGACCAGGTTGCAATCTGCCTGCATGATTAGGCGGACTGCATCAGATCCACAGGTGTCAGAGGCCCAGATCGGTTTCCAGCCATAGATGACGAAGTTTCCATCATTCTGCAGAAAAACAGAAGCATCTGTTGCAGATAAATCAGATAAAAAGGATAGTATAGAATTTTTTTTAAAGGGGCAGTAATGTTTTCCAGTGCCATTTTATAGCATAATTAAGTAACTTCAGTTTTTATGCTGTATTCTTTGAACATCGCTCCTCTATTAACCCTTTAACGTCTTTACCAGAGTTTCACTGAGAAGTAGCTCGTATAATGAGCTCAGCAGTTCCACTGGGTGTTTGCTAATTGCTGCTGGCTAGTCTGAAGGAGCTGAATGGGTGACTACTCTGAGGCAAAAGCTCCCAGGAGGAGCTACGTCTCGAAGGTGGAGCTTGGCCCATCCAGGCGTTTGGCACAGCTGAATAGTTGCTATGGCGATTAAAGGATTTCCCAAATACGCATAAAAAAATTTAAGTAACACTCTAAGTCTGTTTTTGACATTACTTCTAAAAAGTCGATTTTACTGCCCCTTTAAATTTTTGTGAGATGTGTTCACCTGGAAAACCGCCTTCCATTCTCTGTTGTTGGACAACAGATAATCTCCCTTGCGAAGCTCGTCGTCATGGGACAGGTAGTTTCTACTCATTTTTCTGAAACACAAAAAACCACAAAGTTGAAGTTGTCTGAAACGAGAAGAAATGTTTTTAATGGATAAGTACTCACAGCTTTGAGTGTCCAGCGGCAGTCGGTCTGTTTGGTGTCAGTCAGACAACGAGCGTCTTTATATTGTCTGTCCTGGGGGCGGACTTGTCCTCTCCACTTCCTCATGACAGCATGTCAGTGCTGCGCTTTTGATATTTTGCATGCTTCAGATAACCAAAACTGTAAAATTGTTAATGTTTCCATCCTCATATCAGACATTCAGGATAGATAGATTACATTTAAAAACTCTTGAAAATAAACAATGTTGTTGTTTGGGGTCTTTAGGTTTTTAAATAAGACTGTGCCTACATTTAGAAGTACAAATGTTCAAATTACTCTCAAATTGTTTTCATAAATAAGAACCCAGTGTGTGAGCTTATTCCTGAATGGACTATAGAAAAAAGGTTGATTGAACTGTTACTAGTGTGGCTGAATGCCACAGGAAGTTGGATTTGGACTTTAACCTGTTTTTGTCTAACAATTGTTTTTAAAATCAGCTAAACATTATTTCAGGTGAGTAATTATGTCCAGTGTATGTC